AACTGATAAATTAAAATCACAGCAAAACTCGACTTGTTAGTTATTGGTCAACAGAGATTGAGGTTCGTTAGTTCGACTAAATATTCAGAAAGTCGAAAAATAACAGATGATAACTTCAGCACCAGTGGTGTAATAGAAAATAATTCAGTGACAAAAAATGCGCAAAATTTCATGCACCTATGAAGGAGATACTTTATTATATGGATAATTATATATTTCAGTGAATAAAACGTGTTTTACGACTGCAACTATTACAATTGTCGCTCTGCCAGTTTACGAACACGTAAAAATTGATTGATTACCGCGATACTGTTGCTACGGTATCGCATTCGTCTCGGTATCGCGTTTCGTGGTTCGCTCTGGTTTGTGCGGCTCCATAGGCCACCAGGGTATCGCACGGACCACTGGTATCGCAAAACAATTTCCAAGAAAAAGTATCGCGCCCGTTCCAGTATCGCACGGAGTATCGGTGTGTGCAGGGCTTGATTTGTTTTTGTTGTTACTATTTTGCAAAATATTTTTTTTTTTATGATGGGGGAAACCGAGTAAAGTGAGGTGATATTCTGAAAGAAAATATAATTTCCTATAAATTGGTACTATGTATAAATTTATTGAAAACTAGCTGTACCCTCGGGCTTTGCCCCGTTTAACTTCATAAGTGAGCTCGTTCGCACGTCCTGGTTGAAGTTCGTTCGCTACGCTCACTCACCTTTACGTTGGAGCTCGTTCGCTGCGTTCACTTGCCTTCAGGTTAGCTCGTTCGCTACGCTCACTCACCTTTGGGTTGCAAATTAGCTGTCGTCATAAATTAAAAAAAATAATAGTGCTGCACCCTGTTGGTAATCCTTGTACCTTTAATGCTATTGAACATCACAGAATCAACTTGTTTAGTTGAACCAGCTGTTAAGATTCTTTAATTCCATTTAAATATGAGTACTCATAAGGTTAACATGGGAAACTCCAGAGCCACTGGGGTGGAGCCCGAGAGTCCGATCAGAATCAAAACTACTTAGTTTTCCTATTTAATGCCTAAAGAATCAGTGTACCGAATTTCAGCCTCCTAGGTAAATAGGAAGTAAGAGAATTAGTGATGAGTGAGTGAGTGAGTCAGTGAGGGCTTTGCCTTTTATATATATAGATATCCTAAAAAGCGGGTGGTACCACTGCAATAAGGTAGAAATCTACTTATATACTAGGTGTACAATGCAGTTGTCTGCTTGCAATATTGAGCGGAGTTAGCATTGATGCAATATTCTTCTAAAGTCAATGATACATCTATTTCTCGTAAATGAGATATATATACTTGCAGTATCCAAAGTAAATGGTATATTTGGTTTACATAAATGGAATGTCTATTTGCAGTATCCAAAGTCAATTTTAAACGCAGGTTCACGTAAATGAATTGTCTACTTGAAGGAACCAAAGTCTATGATTCATCTGGTTACCCTAAATTAAATGTCTACTTGCTGTATCTAATGCCAATGATATATTTGGTTCACAGAAACAGAATGCCTATTTGTTTGGCAGTTTTGTGCGTACATTTTTCAACTGATTTTGCTCGACATTTTCATTCATTTAGTGCTCAACTACAGCGATTACAGCGGAAGTACGAAATGTCGATGTAGTTTGGTTGTAATGTTATATGAGAGGGGCTGCCACGCCACGTCGCGTCGTGCGGGCAGATTCTGCCTACAATCTCACTTTTACCACAGAAAACTACTACTAACCGGTTATAGTAGTATGTTTTCTGTGCTTTTACTACTGTTTAGAAAAGTTTGGAACTAAGAAAAGTTACTAAGCTACTTAGAAAAACACGGATCAAATTAAAATTTCCATCGTTTTATTCTATGTAATCATATGCAAATATAGTATATTACGTACCTAGGGCCGAAAATTAGGTTTTGCCGGCTCCAGATAGTCGTTTCGAACTTAAAACGATCGAGAGCTGTAAAACCATTTCGGTCCGTGGTACAAACGCTATTTTTCACCACACTATACCCTATTACCACCATGCACCACAATAATAATGCACACTGATAGTCAACACAACTATAACTTTAAGGTTATGTGAAGAAATAATTTGAGTAATCAGCAAAAATAATAATAACAGTTGTTAGGCAGCGGTGACAATAAACAAAAATCGCAATGCTATGGATACTTATTGTGTCTTGAATATGCATTCATGTTTTAAGAAAGCAAGCGGGCAGCTGATTTTGCGGCCCTAGCGATATAAAAACCTGCTCGGTCCCCAAATGACGATGACAGCTGGCATGTCCAGCAAAACGTAATTTTCAGCCACCAATTAACTTATTTAAAACAGCTAAAAACATCATAGTGTGGTGAAAAAATTAGCTCCTCTATAACAATTAATAAGACAGTCGAAACGGCATTCGCTAGAATCAAATCAAATCAAATCAAATCATTTTATTTAGCTAAAATTGACAATACATATTGCATAGCTAAGTCATGGTACAAACGTACATTATTAAAATTATAAAGTTTTCCTAGAAAAAATTTAAAAGCTAGTTTAGAAGGTCATTGTATTAATGGAAATATCCATAATGCCAAGGCATAATGTTACTCATATTATTAATATTAACAAACATTTAATTAGTTGCGCTTGCCACAAGGGCTCCTCACAGCCAGTGATGTAAGATCGATATGTTCTGTGCTCGTACTCAGGGCTAGAGATATACATATACATATATACATACATGTATATCTCTAGCCCTGGCTCGTACTGCTCGATGTCCAAGGCACAGACAAGGGAAACATTTTATTTCCTTAGTCAATGTCCAACGGTAGATAAGTTTGCCGCTGCGCGTGCGTAGGTGCGGAGTCGTGTTTTTAGTAGTAGTTTGTTTACACGATGTTTTCAGAAAGGCGCGCATAATGACCCCGCGCTACCCGCCCGTCCACATCACCTTCCCCCCAAGGCTATCAACCCCAAAACGGAACTACACCTAGGGTGATGAAGACTCTTAACATTAGGTTTTTCCAGACTATAAACTTTTACCTTCAGTCGTGTTGGGTAAATAAGTTACCTTTGGGTCTAACGCCAAAATAAGGTTGAATTGGTAGGTATTGATTTTTCAAAATATTAATTGCCATACTACAATCGGTTTTTAAATTTTTAATCGGTCATTATCTCTCACAATCACGGTGAAATCGTAAGTGTTTCCCATGGTCGCCTCAAACTCATGAACGTCTCCTGCTACTATAGCTTTTGTGAACATCTTACGCAGTTGCAGCAGAAACGTAAACTTCTTCCGCGATCTTGGAGACTTCACTGTTTCCAACGACCATGTTCTTGTGATATCGTGATAATTTCCTGAGTTCACAGCAACATTGTGAACATCTTCAGCGGTTGCAAAGACAGCATCATAGACGTAGACATATTTAATTTGCACTTAACATTTTTTACATGCGGTGATACATACAGAATAGGTGCATAGTTCCCTATCTTTGTGAAGCCTTTGAGAACACCTCCTTTGACCTTGGAGATATCAACATTTCCTGCGTTCACGTGATATGAAAAACAAAATTATTTGTCTCCCGTGATTGCAAAATGCACAGAATGGACTTAGACTCAATCCTGAGAAAACAAAACCAATCATTATAGGTCACTTACGGTTACTAAACAAACTTGAAGAAGACAATTTACCAAAACTCACTGTAAATGGAATTACTTTGCAATATTAAAACAAAATCAAAAGTTTTGGATTGCTGATGAACCGTACATTAGACTGGACTGACGCGGTGGTAGATACTTGTAAAAGAGTATTTGCCGCCATTCACACAATGAAGAAGATGCAACGACTCCTTCCTTTTCACATTAAACTCTTACTGGTCAAATCACTTGTGTTTCCACACTTCAATTACTGCAACACTGCGGTTAATGATATGACTGTGGCTTTGGCAACAAAACTACAACGTGCACAAAATTATTGTATTAGATTTCTGTTTGACCTTAGGCAGGACGACCACGTCACACCTTATTACATAAATGAATCAATTTTGAAATTAGATGACCTCAGAAAACTCCGAATACTTTCAATCACTCATTCGGCTATCAATCTTGGAATTCCAAATTACATTGCAAAGAATTATGAATTTTTGAATGAAAGAGGTGCAAGGGATACTCGCTCTGGCTCGTCTATGTTGCGCAAATGCGCATTCCTCGTCACAGAACAACTATTTATAATAAATCATTTGTAGTCACAGCATTCCGCCTATGGAACTCTATACCCGATGCCATTAAAGCCATAGAAAACCGATCCCGACTGAAGGCGACACTGAAAGAATATTATCTCAACCGGATGGTAGTGGCGTGGCGGGATGGCGTGCGTTAGGCTTAGCTGCTGCAAAGAGTGTATGTGTGTGTGACTGTATGCTAGGAAAAGAAATGTATGTTATGTTGTTTATTATTAATTATGTTACGAAATGTGTATTTTACTTTTGTTCACATCATGTATTATTGTTATTACTATTATTATTTAGAGGTTAACTGTAAGAAAGGACCATGAGGTCCTAAGTTCACCTCAATAAAGAAGGATTTTCATTTCATTTCATTTCAAAATCATGATTTTCAATCGTACTATCTTTGTAGAAGCTTTGTGCAATAGCAATTCTATGTATGTGCTGCAGCTTATTTCACACAGGTCTGATCTATCTGGAAGGTCTCTTCCTATTTCTTTGACAATGTTGCATAGTTTCAAGAATTATTTATCTTCATTATTTAAAGAATCCTGAGAGTACAATTGTTTGGTAGTCTAGTTATTAATTAGACCCAATATTCTGCTCCACTGCACTAACAACACTGGTCAACCCAAAGTTGAACTTAGATTTAAACTTCACTCTCTCAACAGCACATGTTACTCATTTCTTTATGTTACTTTTGTGTTTGATCTATTGGTTTTTGGAGGTCAAAGGGCTGAAATACTTGTTACGGATCTACTTATGTAGAATACAAAGCTATCACCAATTTTCTTTAATTTTAGAGCTCCTAAGTCTCGTGTGGTTTATGATGCGTTTAATGCAGCAAAACAGTGTGTAAGGAATCACAAGGGAGCCTTGCCCTCAGTGCCTCTCCATCTTCGCAATGCTCCCACCAAGCTCATGAAACAACTAGGTGAGTCATTTACTGTAGTAAGTACTACATTGTGTGGCCTATACTGAAAGCTGGCCCTGGTTCTTAAAAATGTGTGTACTGTCCCCTAGAAAACGATTTTGTTTATTCTATTCATTCTGTGCATAACAATTTTGTCAAACACTTTTAAAAATAACTTAATTAATAGAAATGTATTACTTGTGTAGAAACAGGATACTTCTGTCTCTGTCTTGGATTATAGGTCGAAAAACAGTTCAGAAAAAAAAAAAATACTGTCTAAAAAGAAAATAAAGCAATAAAAAGTGAGTTTAAAGAAATCCAATAAGACAAGACTCAAATATCTCATTATAGAATAATTCTAGTAATAAATCAATATGAACTTAGAATGTAATCTGGAGTTAATAATTATCAAAATACATTAAAAATCATATTCATATAGTTAAAGGCAAATTAATCCTAATAAATTAGTTTCAATCATCAGCAACAGATCAAACACAAACAGATTTTTTCTATTTAGTTTTTCTGTTCTATAAATATAATGTTATGCTGGTTGATCCTTGATGAACATTTTGAAATACTAAGGCCAAGTATGAGAGAAACATCACATGGTAAGCAAAGCATGTTGTATTTGTAGTAAGAGGAAAAATGTTGTGCCTTTGTTAACAATGGGGAAAAATGTCCTAAGGCACTAACTAGATAATATGTTGTGTCATGATTTACGTCGTTAATGGCTAGTCACATATCTGGCGCAGTAATTACTTTCACTCTTATCTACAGTAGGCCCTACCTCATAAGTTTTTATGCAATTCTTATCATTGCTTGAGTATTGGAAGTTCTTTAAAAGACTCTGTGTCACTCTGTTTTTAATTTGTTATTTATCTGCATAAAGCCCCAAAAGCAGTTCAAATGCACAAACCTAAAACTACAGTTAGTTTCTTTTTCAAATAAATTAATATCTAGCAATAAAATATAACTTGATTTAGTGAAGAAGCGGTGTTTTTACACTGGCGAATCAGAGATTTGAAACTGCATGAGAATAGCCATGTAAGTTGTGACAGCACTTGTTACTGCTATAACCACAGAAGTACGTACGGTTAGTAGTCCATGTGCCGTGAACTCAGGTACTCTCTTTAATATTTGAGCCAATAAATTCTCAGTTTCTATAAACATTTGTTTGTTCATTTTATGGTGCATGAGTCGGCCCACAATTTCAGCAGATTTTTCGGCCTCCGAGACAGCCATAGAACAAGGCCAAACTAACATATACAACTGCACTATATAACTCACTAACGAGTTAACGTGCAATATCAACAGCTTATCAGTTTTACTGAGTGATCTCAACAGCAGAACAAAATAAGTGCTGAACACCAGATGTGTAAAAAAGAAAAACATCATACTCAGTAATTGTGTGCCATAAATTTTACTTGTGGTACGAACTATATGACAGATGGTCCAGTGGGCCACATTCAGTTCTGATAGGCTAGGACCACGAGTATTTAGCTGCGGGAAACAAGTCTCAACCAAAGGCAGTGTCACTGTCCATAATGTAATACGGTTGTGGCTTTCCTTGATATTTTTTGTTATGTTTTTGTTTATTTCTTGAAATATTTTTTTAATGCCGAGTACTAAATCCATATATTCCACCAATGCCATAGTTATGGTCATCCGTGCAAGCTGGCCAACCATGTCATAACTTATACAACTGTATTGCCATGTGCAACCATGAACTGTTATGATTATTGTATGCAGTATTATGAGATAGGAAATAGTGTGTGTACTTCTAAACAAGTTTTTACTATGTAACAAGAAGTCTACTTCTCTTAACGTATCTTGCATGGCTATTTTTTCTTGTGTTTTAGAAATTGCCACCACCAGACAAACTGCAAGACATGCATAGGTAGATAGCATGTTAACATTAAATGCTAGTTTAGACATTTTATTGGTCAGCTGCTTTGAAAATGCTGTATGTATCATGTCTCTTCTCAGTCCGTCATAAAACCGCAAAAAATACACTGCAGAGAAAAAAAGCAGTAAAAAACTTGAAAAAATTTTCCATGCACAAGAACTTATTACAAATAATCTTTTTTTAGTCAATTGTTTCTTGGTTACTGGTAAAATACCTACTAATCTTAGGAAATAAAAAATTAGGTTTGAGTGTAAGTACATATTTCACGTATAAAACGGGAAACTCTGCTTTAACAAAACACTTCAAGTTTACTGCAGTAACTTTCACCATCAAAACTTTCTGCCAAACACCCAATCCACATGGCAGGCAAACATGAGAATTGATTGATTTGATACACGAGTATTGATTTGAACTTTTATCCTTTTGCCGTTTGCGTTTCTCTAAGGACATCAATTTACTAACAGTGTTTGTCTCAAGCTCACAATGCATTGTGTTAGTGTTATGTTGTTGTAATTCAATACACTATTCAACATTGATTAGGATTATAAAACAAATATTTTTGTTTTAGATTTTGGCTTGAATGTCATTGTTCTATTAATTATCTTTAAATCTTATCTTATCTTATCTATAAATTAAATAGTAACAATAAAAATATAAATAGGAATGTTTTTTTTATTATTTCTTTAAGCCAATAAAAAAAAAAATATAATTTTATCACAGGATACAAAAGATATAATTTAAAAATGTCAATCGCACGTTTAGCTTTAGACCTTTATCATAAGATGTTGTTAAAGAATAAATAAGCATACCTAACATCTAACATATTACAATTTGATGAAAATTGATGTTTCAGGATATGGTACTGGATACAACATGAGGGACAAGAGTTCTTCAAACCTTACTTACATGCCTGAGGGAATGGAGAACGTTACATTTTTCTAAGTAAACCATTTTGATTGTTATTTATACTTACATAAAATATTAGTTGTTGGTTTTATAGTGGAATTTTTTACCTTTTCTAGTAAAAAAATAGTTTCTCATATTACTAGAGAGATAGGCAAGACTAGCTTGGAGGTTGTAGACGAGGTTGGGGTTTTTTTGTGTATTCCCTCTCGCTGTTAAACAATTTCGGAAAAACTAACATGTTTTAAAATTATATTCAGTAAAATTGTAATGTAATGGATTTAAAAAAGTAAACTTATTGATAGTGTGAAAAATACTTATTTTAAAATAAGCAAAAACCGACCCAGCATTTATAATCCATTAAATTTAAATATATTAGCAGGAAAGATATAAATACCCCCACCGCAGCAAACTTGCCGACTAAGCGAATTTCCATTTAAGTTACCTGAATTGATTTTCAATTAAATCTATTTAATTAACATTTACGTTTAACGACTACATAGGTTTACTGCTACAGGGAAACTAATAAAGTCTCTTTTTTGGAATATATTAATAGCTTAGTATAAAATAAATAAATCTACCAAATTTCTTCAACATATATCCATAAACAAGCAAACTACAACATTCTCCATAAGAATAACATGGTAATTTTAAATTAACATTTTTTTGAATTTTCTCGAATTTTCTCCGTAACCAATAACCGTACAAAACCACTTTAATATACTAAATTATTTGTTTTCTAAGCTTTTCAAAAAGATGTAGAGATAAATTGGGAAAACTTGTGTTTTGAGGGTTAAAAATTAGAAAAACCAATTTGTACTCCATAAAAAACCCCGTTCCCATGGTCTGATCATACTGGTTCGCGAACTCATTTAAGTTTATCCCGCCTTATACCTTCAAACCAAATTTAATCAAAATCGGACAGAAATTATTCAAGATATCGTTCATGGACACACACACATACATAGATATCTATAAGTATAAAAGAGGATGTTTGTATATATATTTGTTTGTTTGTTTGTTTGGCAGTGATAAACTCAGACACCGCTGAACCGATTGCCACGAAACTTGGTACATACGTGTAGAATGTCATGGAATAGGTTTATACACCATCAATTTCGTGATCCGTCCAATCGGCTCCGCCCCAGTGGCTCTGGAGTTTCCCATGTTAACCTTATGAGAAATGGAATTAATGAATCATAACAGCAGTTTCAATTAAACAAGTTGGTTCTGTTCTATGATGTTCAATAGCATTAAAGTTACAAGGATTACCAACAGGGTGCAGCACTATTATTTCTTTTATTACATTTATGACAACAGCAAATTTGCAACCAAAAGGTGAGTGAGCGTAGCGAACGAACTTCAATCTGGAGGCGAGTTAGCGTAGCGAACGAGCTCCAATCTAAAGGTGAGTGAGCGTAGCGAACGAACTTCAACCAGGACGTGATTGAGCCATGCGAACGAGATCATCTTGAAAATTAAGAAGTTAAACGGGGCAAAGCCCGCGGGATTATAAATAGTCAAAGGCCACAATGTCTGCCGGGTTCAGCTAGTATACATATACATATATAAAAATTTGAACGAATGATGTTTTTGGCCTCTGGGGACACAAAATGAATAAGTAAATCGGTCCTGGGCCTAGATCTTTCCGTGCCACCTACGGTAATAGATACTTCCCTATAGGGAAATTTGTTAAGATTTGTACGAATAGTGTTTTTGGCCCCTAGGGACATCAACATGAAAAAGTAAATTGGTCCCGGGCCTAGGTCTTACCGGTGCCACTTACGGTAATAACTACTTCCTTATAGGGAAATTCGCTAAAAAGTGTTTGACGGAGGATTTATTTATTAAATAATACAGTATCATATTATATTAAAAAATCAATAAAAAAATCTGGTTGGATTTATCAATATCCTCTCAAGGTTTGCAGACATATTAGTTAATTTAGGCTGTTAAATTTATTAGATATACATGTCATGGTAATTGAAAACTTATTTTCATAAGTTGTATTATACTTTTACTTTAGTTAATAACACTTCAATTGAGAGCTTGATAGGCATCTTCGAAGTTTAATGTCAGCACATTTGATATGCCTAACAACAATATTAAATACCTTAGTGGAAGCCTACTAGTTGGTAGACAAATTAAAACTTATTTTTGTAAGTTATATAAGACTTTACGTTATTCATTGCGGCGATTCTTGATAGACATCATCAAATTTCAATGCCAGCACAGTTGATATGCCTAACAACAATTAAAAAGTGAGAGCCTAGCAGTTAGTTGAAAAATAAAATTTATAGACAAGTACGAAAACCCTCGTTGTTGACTATTTATTTTATTGTCAGTTTTGTTGGTTACTTGTGAAATTAAACTATTAAAAAGAGAATCCCCTTCAAAGACAAGAGAGTTGATCGTAATGTCACAGTGTCGACTTGAGAAATGTGGGTGGGGTACAAATACGCGGCACAATTTGGGGGAATCATGGAGTGAGATCAGGGCCGGATTTCCCAATAGGCCCGGTAGGCCCGGGCCTATGGGCGCAAGGTCCCAGAGGGCGCACGGCCAAGAGGAATTTTTTTATAGGCTATCTAAAAATAAAAATAAATAGTCATAGTTGATAAAAAAACTTCCGAAGTTCATAAGAAGAAATTATTGTTATGAAATTTAAAATATTTTTCAGAATTACGCATCAATTTCGTTACAAAATTGCTAACGAACATTGGTTAATGGTTATACGGGAGTAGGCTGTAGGGATGTTGACGTTGATGAGCGCCCAAGGGTTAACGCATCGTATTGCCACTGCACTGGGCCACTATGCTGGCTCGGCTTCCTCAGGCTCGGGCTCGGCACTACTGATCATAGTGATTAGGGGCACATGCGTGCTAGACATTGTTACCACCCTCACTTCACAAAATAAAAGTTATTAACTAATCTTTTGATTAGTTTACAACAATCTGCAGGATCAAGTTAAAATATATAATACGTAGTGTTGAATATTAAAACGATTAATTTACGTTTAAATTTAACGAACAAATATTAATCTCAGTTTGCATTAGATTTTAAAAACATTCAATACCCTCCAAAGCACCATCATAAATGCTGTCATTTTCTCCTCAGACCTAAGGATCGGTATGGTTGGCAGTATTGCTCTGTTTTGCTTTGGAAATATAACCTAGATACAGTACGACCATAGATTATATATAACTCAAGTCGACTTCTTATGACATTGTTAATTCAAAATTTGTTCATGTCTAGTTCATGTTGGTGATACTGGACGTTAGTTTTGACGTAATTTCCTTTCTATTTTTTTAGGGTTAGTTCTATGATGTGTGTTTTAATTTCTTGTAATATAAACAGGAGACGATTGTTGATGATTAGATCGTTTTATTTTGGATAAACTAGGTTTAAACATAGGTAAAACATACTCCTTAAATAACAAGAATTGTTTTCAGTTAATCCAAAATTATGACAAATCTACTAAAGGAGTAGCCTATGTTTAATCTATGGTATCACATACTGTATGGAGTTCAGGTTTTTGGGCCTGGAATTTGAATCAATGGCCATGGTTTTTTTTTCAGGAATTCTCGGTGGTTTGAGTTGTTTTGTTTCAGTCCCACTGCCACAAACGTGAGCATTTATTAAAAGCATAAAATTGCCAACAGTGTTTAAGACGGCATTTTGTTAAGGCTAAACAATCAATAAAAAAAAACTTGCAATGATTCCGGCGAGGAGTAATATTCAAGCAATTAACTTAGGCCTATGGGCGTGATATAGTTTTTAATAAAGGTTTGAAGGAAAGTAACTGTGACCAGACTAGGGGGCGGAAAATTATTTGGGCCTAGGGGCGCAAAAATGCTAAATCCGGCCCTGAGTGAGATGCGCTTGCCAGGGACTATAAGGCAGTATCGCCAACTGAAAATACTTGTTCTGTCAACTCTAGATACACGGCGTGTTTATTCAGTTCACAGTGCAAAGATCTGTTTAGTGTATCATTGTATGTTTTGTGGCTGTAATGACAACCTTGACCGTGTCGATGCTCTCACGCATGCCTCTGTCATTGTAGCTGTGATAAAAGTAAGAGCTCACTCTGTCTGAGTCATTTTGCAATTTACTTTAAGGGTTCTTATGACTAATAAATCGTTTGTATCCTGAATATCATCCCATATATTGTCGAGTTTATTGTGTGTATATTATGCCCCTGGGTCATATGTACTTAAAGGTACAGTAAAATAAATGTCAATTTAGCTTGTGGTTTTTTTTTACGAAATTACCCATCTAAAAAGTACTATCTGGGGATGGCACCAATGGTATTAGTCTGGGGGCCGACCCATTATAATTTACAATGACCTGGAAATATGGGTGGACAAAGGTTTTTTGACTGATTCTGATTCAGTTTTTTGCACTGATTACGAATATGTCGGGTACCACTTTGGGCAAACGCCGCCATATTGGATTAATGGCGGCCAAAACTGGTTTTAATCTAAATACTTAAAAACTGTTAGTTTTAGAAATTTGTGGGAAGAGGCATGAAATGAAGAGCGTAACATTTTTAAAAATATGTCTTCAGTAATTTTTGTTCACCTCATGGTTTTAGCATAATTTTTTAAATTGAAGTTATTAATAACTAAAAACATGTAAATAAATACCCATGACGTATTACACAGATTCATTAGTAAACATAGTTATAAAATGCAATGGATAATTGTATGAGTAACCTTTGTAATTGTTAGTACTTCAAAACCAACTACACAGACCACCAAACCAAATTAAAGGCATTGGTATCGTCACATACTACCATTATTTGTTTTGTACAAGGTAACTATCCATCACTAATTATCTGTTGTGCCATTATGATAACAGCCTCTTCGTGGGTTGATTTCAAATGAGCCTGTGGCATAACGGTACACATGTGTATTAAAATTTCCCATATAGGTAATAAGCTATTACCGTAGGTCTCATGGTAAGACCTAGATTCGGGACCGATTCACTTTTTCGTTTTGATGTCCCCAGAGGCCAAAAACACCATCCGTTCAAATTCA